ATGGTGACAGACAAACACTTCAGAAAAATGAGGAAGAGTCATGATGCCAGGCAATGATGATGATGGCTGGAGGGGCAGAAGCCTCACCCGCATACCTACAGAAAGCACCCAGCATGGCCATAGCCACCATCAGTGTCAGGCTGGTTCTTCAACATGTGCAGTCTAAAAAGCCATCTGCAGATCAAGTTATCACCTGGGTAGAAGTATTTAAATACATAACTGTGGACAGATCTAAGGAATGAAGTCTATGTTACATTTTGCAACAGTATAAAGCAGAGATACACTATCCTCTATACTGCTGGACATGGCTATATAGTGAATGGTGCATCCATTTCAAGTCTCAGAATGGAGTTAATTTAAATGGCCTGAGCCATCTTTTGGATCCACTGATGAGTTCTGTAAAAGAGACAGGGAAAACAATACAAAATACTGTTAGAGACATGAAGGAAGTAATCAGAAAAACAGGACATGAAAGTCTAAGCCAAATAGATGGTTGTAAATTGATAGGATTATTATACATCAATACTGAAAGTTCTCTTAACTTTTCTTCTTTTTACTCAACTTTGCAGACACAAAACTCTCACCATGTTTAAAGTAATAGTCATTACCACAGCCTATTGCTTTGATTTTAGGACCATGCAGACAAGAGATCCATAATCAAATCTCAGGTGCTTCTTCTCCCCTTGCTTAAACTAGCCTGTCTCCAGGAGCACAGCTATCCAGATGATAATTCATCATTGTAAGATTGCTCAGAATGCACAGTGGTCTTGAGCTAGTGTTGGCCAGTACAAAAGCTCGTTGCAGGAATTAGGTCCCTGAAATATCATTTTAACATTGCTGATTTCTGTTATGATAAATAATTAAATATTAATGATCAATGTAGTAATGTTCCTCTCTTTTTTTACAGTGAAATTCGAAATCTTAGAAACTTGAATTACATAGATCCAGATGCCTTTAAGAACCTTCCACTTTTGAAATACCTGTAAGTATTTAGCACCTGTAACAAGTTGGCACTTAAGTCTCACAGATGACTCCTTACACTATAGCAGTTTTGTTTCTTTGCATTTCATGTTAGAACCAATTGCAATGCTTTTCCCTGTTGATTTATTTTAATGACAGAAAGTCAGCTAGGGTAGGGATTGGAACTTTGACTACTTTTACGAGAAAAGAAAACATGTTCACAAACTCATCAGTAATTTTGCCTTTTTTCTTACCCATTAAATGTCTGCACTAATGTTTCCTTGGCAAAATTCCACAACTAGCTGTCTTCTTATGATAAGTGCTGTCTTAATATATTTTTGCAGGGAATAGTGGGAAGAAGGGATGTAACAGAAATATACACATCTTTTATATTTACTAGATACTTACACAGGGTTTTAAAGCATACCTGTCAGCTAAATGTGGCAAGCACATCTATAGACACCTGATTTCATATGACTTCTATGGCAGAAAGAAATCCTGAAGAATTCTTTGTATTCCAATGCAGTTTCTGAAGAGCAGCACAGAGTAACCAAATCATGAAATTCCAAAAATTTAGCATAGGAAAGAGAATAACGTCTGAGATTTTGAGTAAAGTTTGGAAGATTCTAGAAAGGGCTGTGTGCATGTGTGGTGGGGGTAGTGGCAAGGAGGAAAGATTTTTCCAGATTTTTCCTATAGATCTGAAAGGAATAAAAAGAAGTAGTCAAAATAGTTTCATTTCAGGAGAATAGTTTTAAAAAATAAGAACTATATTTTCTTAAGTTATTTCCACTCTACAGGAGTTCAGAGATAGGAGACATTAACTGTATTATCATTGAAGACAGTTTCCCTGTTTAGAGCTATTGGAACAGCTCTTAGCCTCAATGAAATATAGAGGATTTGGGGGTCCAGACTATTGTCTGAAGCAGCCTTAACCTCTCAAGTGAATCCAGAGTTACAATTTTTTCTCTCACTACCCACCTCACAGGCTACTTCCTTCTGCAGTTCTGCTTAGCTGTCTTATTATTCTGTGTTCCTATTTTTTAGATTCTATAGTTTATCATAAATCTAGTATTTTTATTTCTTTAATTGTTCTTGCATCCTTGTATTTGATTATAATTGAATTTATTGACAACAGAGAGGATGAAATAACCGTCCTGCACTGTTGAATGCCTTAATTACATTGACTGTTGTTGTTCAGTGATCCAGTACATGTAATTCTTTTTGTTTCTTCTATCTTTCAGTGGTATTTTTAATACTGGACTCAAAGCATTTCCAGATCTCACCAAAATCTACTCATCTGATGTAAACTTTTTACTGTAAGTATCTGTCCTCACAACTGGTTAGAACACTGCCATCCTCAGATCCCAAGAAAACCTATTTTCTTGGTTTCTGTTTTGGAGAAAAACATCAAATAAGTCTGACAAATAAGTCTGAGCACTTTTCCTCAAGCTATATTTCAATGATCATTAGTACTAAATCTGGAAAATGCTAGGTCACCTAGCACTATATATTTGACCTGGATGAGAGACATGGACACACAAGCACATTTCTCTTGAATTAACCAAAGCACATGATACACAACTTCTACAAGCCTTTTGCTTTTATTTTGGTTTTGTAATGGCTGTGCAATACTCAAATTAGTCTGAAGTCAGAGTGTGACCCACAGGACCTGATCTGACATACAGCCTGCTAACATGAAGTTATCCTGTCAACAGTCTTTTAAGAAATGTGTGCTGGCATGGTGAGCTCATATTGCACATTTTCTAATACTACTCTTCTTTGAGCTCCTATATTGTTGAATCATAACCTCCACTGGCTATCTACTTTCTCTCTCCTGAGTTCAGAAGACTCAAGAGCAGGAGAACTAGAAAATCTTGAGAGCAATTTTTTATCATTACAGCTTAAAAAAGCTCAGCATTGGCTGAGTTCACATTTTTAAGGTTTTGGTGAAGACTTAATTTATCAAAAATATGTTGCTTCATACAATTAATGTTTTAATAAAGAAAACAGAAAAGGACATTAAAAAGCAAATTGCAAAAGCTGAGAAATAAAGTAGAGCTTTTAAGTTACTAGACCAGGAGCACTTTGATTTCATAACAGCCTTAGTAATGAGGTCAGCTCAGGCTAGCACAGCACATCTTTAGGAAAGAAGACTACCCACCTCCCTTCTGTCACTCACCCTTTTTTCATGGTAGTTGAATGAGATGTATGCTCTTTTAGATTGACAGCATAAACTTCTATGAACACACACTTTGCCTAAATACCCTTGCCCAACCTTACTTGTAGAGTCACATTTCAAGTTCAAGTCTATAGTCCCACTGAAGGACCAAAGCACCAGGACTGACAATTGCTTACTTTTAAGCTAGACTTCCTAGGTGGAGCCATCTCTCATTAACTAAAGTCCTCAGCTGGAAAGAATTTTCCTACTAGCAAGCTTTGCTAATTTAGTTGGGTTTGTTCACGTGAGGCACACCTACATAACACCATGACCTTCTTCCTTTCTTAAAACTTAAAACCCATTTACTTAACTGATTTAAAGATACCCCCTCTTTTTTTTTAATATGGTATGAAGCAAATTGCAGAACAAGTTCTTGGAGTAAGAGAATGGGAATACAAGTGGGGACAAGGGGGTCTCCCACTATTATCCTTCAAGATATTTCAGAAACAAAGGGTTTTGCTGTAAAAAGCAGGTATTTCTTGGTATTCAGAAAGCAAAGATGGCATCCATCTTTGTGCCCTAACCTGCAATTTAAGTTCAAATTCTGGGTTGTAATCAAGCCAAGGGGGAAAAGCAGCTTAGATGAGGACTTGCATGCTGACCTAAGGTAAAAGTATTTTGGTGACTACTTGGTCCTAGAGAGGAGTTAGCAATCTTAAATTGTAGCAGTGTTCAGCTGGAAGAGGCTTGACTGCTGGTTGGGCTAGGTAAAAGGCTATTAAAAATGAGCGGTATTATGCTAGAAGATGACTTGCAAATACATGATTGATGGTCTACCCCAGGCATTGTTTCAGTGCTGCTAAGGGGAGTTCTTAGTCAAGAACAGTCAGTCCCCACTGCATTCACGGTCTGCCATTGGCAAGATGAACCTCAGAGCAATGTAGAAATGCTGGATGTTTTGCTAAAGAGTCTAGACCTGTAGTGAGCAACGAGATCTTCCCTCCCAGGGATCTTCTGAGACTAGAGGTAAGCCTTGTGTTAATTCACACTCCATAACCTCGAGTTGCTATGTTTGACTGGGCTGTAGGCCTCTGACCTTGAAGCCTGAATCAGCCAGAGCTCTGAGTGGGATACACCTACATCTTAAGAGCTATTAGGGAGTTCCTCAAAGACCAAAAGGGCCTAAGCTTAGATTAAGATCTAGTAGATTGCAAATCAAACACTACACTTACTAAGTAGAGAGAACCAAGAATTAAATAGGCTAGATGAAACAGAAGCAGTTTATACAACTATCTGTGTCCTTGCTTCCAACCAACTAGTGACTTTCTAAGGGGCAGATAGTAAAACATTATTTTACTTCTACCTTGAAACTTTTTGATAAAGATCGCTAACTAAAAATAAACCTGGGTCTTATATGCTAAAGACTTTTTAAAGAGTAGACCTGCACTTTCAAGGGAGGTATTTCTAAACATTGCTATTCAATGAAAGATAGCCTTTTTGTTTCTTTCATCAAGAAAAAAATCTGCTCTTGAAGAATAAGAGGTTTCTAAATGATGAATAAGGTATAGCTGGGCAAAAAGCATTCATTATATCACTATTGGCCTTTCAGGTCAAGCAACTTACAAGTAAACATTTGTTTAGAAAAGTGAACCAATCTGAAAAATGTCAAATGAAAATAACTTGTATTGGAAACCACCTATCGGTGAAAACTAGTTGGAATGAAATAGTTGTAGTACAGTTCAGTATCAGCACATATATAGCAGAGAAAAGATATTAAATGGTTTCTTTCACATGCATAATTGTTAGGACTTCTCAGCCCATGGACGTTATGGTCTGGCCTTACTAGACCACATCTAATCCACAAGCCAAAGAAAAGAAAAATTTGCAGAATATTTTGGTTTCCAGACTAATATGATTCAGGAAAAAGCAGAAAAAGGACAACCAGACACTTTTTTCTGCCCTTTATTTCTACCAGCTTTTTCCTCTCTCCGTTCTCCAGTTTAGTCATAATAAATCTCTTTAGTTTTTCTTTGTCCCTTTGGTCACAACAGAGTTTTGATCTGCAGATACATAGTATTTATTAAGACTGCAGAGTAGAAGTAAATAAGTATTTAAGAAATGACAGTGAAACACTTATTTGGACAAGAGTTGAGAAGAATCATTACATTAGATCACGTAGTAAGTTATTTCACTTGTCCTAGATGCAGTTCTGCAAAGTGAAATGCCTCTGTCCTGAATAATATATTATCTGATGTCTTGTCTTAGCTTATCTAAAGAGCACGATCTCAGCTCTAAAATCTCTTAGGCTGGCTCAACTGACACTGCAACATTATTTATTTTGCTAACTCTCTGGCTTATGAGACAAGGGACCTGTGTGTGCTGTTAATGACTACAGTCACACAGGCTGGCACACCTCACCAGGGCTATAAAACCTATCATCTACTTCACAAGCTCACTTCCTGGATGCTGGAACATGCTCGATTCTTAATCATCCCACACATATCTTCCGGCCTTAGATATAACAAAACAAGTTATTTTACACTTTTATTTATTGTCAAGGCAGAGAACAATTAATAATAAAACTGTTCTGGAGAAGCTCTGTTGGGCAGATGTTCGATTGTGATGTTTTGTCTCCTTTTTCAGTGAAATCGCAGATAATCCTTTCATGACTTCAGTGCCTGCAAATGCTTTCCATGGGCTTTGTAATGAATCTCTAACTCTGTAAGTTCTTCCAGTTTAAGTCACAAGGCAATTACATCTCTCAAGCATATGGCAAAAATGTTTACAAAAAATAAAAATCCCTGTCCTACTCTCTAGTAGTTTGTAACAGAGAAATACCATAGACAGGTAGTACCCATAATCTAGTTTGCATAAATCCTTTACTTTGACAGTGATTTGAGTTAGGCCTGCTGCTTTTCTTTAAACTGGCATGATGAAAGTGGTTTTGCTTTTGTATGATCCTAATGCCATTGAATGGTTATATTGGAGAAAATCAAAGGGAAATGTTTGCAGAGTTCTCCTTCTGTAAAGCTACAAGCATGGTTAGAACTGTGTCTAACTTTTTTGCAACCTAAGTGGCACATACCAGGAAAACTAATGGGTGGCAAACGTTAGAAGAGTCATATTTGAAGAAAAATTGTTAAAGTTCAGTTTTGCAAGTCATACTTAGTGTGAGTCACAAGAAAGGGCTGAGTGGAGTGAAAATGACCGTAAAGAGTTATGACCTGAACTAGGGAGAAGAGCACTAGAATGCAAAAGAATGAATTCTAAAGAAATTCTGAAAACAAATCCTTTTGCTCTAAGGGAGCAAAAGAATGAATTCTAAAAATTCAGGCAGGCCTAAGAGTATAACCATACATATTTTGACAGGTATTAGTTCTTTTAGCCTTCCTTAATCAGTCCTAGCAGAATTTTGTTTCCTTGGTTTTAGTTTGAGAGTGGAAAAGTTATAGCAAAGTGTTTTACTCTAGTTCTGTCTTTGCTGTAAGAAGTAAAAGATGACATACCTGTCACATGGTATTCTTGATTCAGCTACACTCAAGAATACTACTGGGCATTTGTTTGACCTTGCGCTATAATTGCTGCTTCTTCAAGAGATTAAAATTAACCCATCCATAAATGTGCTGTTGCTAAGAAAACGATGCATAAGATGTTAGGTATTGAGATATTGAAGCAACCCAAAATATACTTTTTTTTTTTTTTTTTTGCTTGCAGCAAACTCTACAATAATGGTTTTACAAGCATCCAAGGCCATGCTTTTAATGGGACAAATCTGGATGCTATGTAAGTAGCAGATCATTCTCTTCTTTCAGAAAAAAAACTATATAATAAATACTCTATGCTTGTGGGAGGCTCTCAAATACATATCTTATTCTAATTATTTTTAAGGCTCAAAGAGAGGGTATTAATTTCAGCCAGCAATAAAAATATGAGCACTTAATGTCTTTTGCAGTGTGCTTTCATTTGGTATGTATGTGCATTGCTCAGACATAAGATCATGACAGGTAATTCCAGTGTGAATTTTGTTCTGGTTTGAAGCTACAATAAAATTCCTTTTGATCAGTAATGTTTCTAAGACAATTTGGAAGATAATTATGCTCTTTTACTTACAAGACAGTTTATTTTAGTAAGTGTAGCACTGATAATGGTAGCAGCCCTTTCACAGAAATCTCTTATCTGCAAAAAAGAGTGGTGTAAGGTGTTAGAAGCAATTCAGAGAAACCGGTCACTTGCACTAGAAGTCAGATGGGCATCTCAAAAGCATGGAGTAACCATTTCAGCCATTTCAGCTTTCTCTTCACCTTTTTATTGCAGTTTCTGGAAAACTAATACTTAGTGAGTGAATATCCTTTTTACATCATACCCAAAATCATCTGCCTCGATCATTAACACAGAACAAATCTCAATTCCAGAGGCTCCATTTACTTTGGCAGAGCTTACTCTGGTCCTACAAAGGCTTGACTGAAGAGTCTGGCTGGCAGTCTCATGAGTAAAGAGATTTCTTCCTCATGAGCTCTTAAATTAACCAGAGAGGCATGAGGATAAATATGATTATTTTCAGTACTTTATTTTAAATTTGGCTTGAATTCTATAACAATTCTATAAGACCAGCTTTCACATGGTTTTAATCTTTCCAAAATGCCTTTTTTTCCTTAACAGCTAGCTAGACTTCTTAAATATTGAAAGGTTTGAGTTAAACTAAAGATCTGGGATAGATCTTATTACTCATATTAGTTCAGTTACTTTGAACTTTCATATGAGAAAGGAAGTTTTTCATGATGATGTAGTGTTTGTACTAGTGCCCACAGAAATCGCAAGATAGAAAATACAGCAAAATGAATCCACTGTCTTGACTGAATCCCTCTAAGCTGTATATGCAATACTTAAAACCTTTCTAAGCCTTGGCCAATATATGAACTGTGCTGGCTCTTTCATTTCTTACATTTTGATGAAACACAGGTTGGAGATGATTTTGTAGGAATTTGTCTTTTTGCTTCTCTGATAGCGTGCAAGTGCTATTGCTTCTGGCCTCTTGGGAATTTTCCTTATTATTAAAGAATCAAATGAAAATGTAGTTTTAGAAGATCTGGAGTCCTAAACATCTGCTTTATTGGACTGGGTGGAAGTAGAGAAGCAGAAAACACATCCAAGGTTCTGCAGATACTGCTTGCTTACTTTCAGAAAAAGTTTGTAATTAGTATTCTTTAAGGCCTGAAGTGTAGAGGGCCTTACAGAGAGATCGGGATAGACTCAAGAGCTGGGCAATCACCAACCGTATGAAATTTAACAAGAGCAAGTGCTGGATTCTCCACATGGCACAGGGTAATCCTGCTTATATATACAAATTTGGAGTTGAGAGGCTGGAGAGCAGCCCCATGGAAAGAGATCTCAGGGTTTGGGTTGATGGCAAGTTGAATATGAATGAACAGTGTGCCCTGACAGCCAAAAGGGCCAACCATGTCCTGGGGTGCATCAAGCACAGCATAGCCAGCCAGTCGAGGGAGGGGATTGTCTCACCCTGCACTGCACTGATGTGGCCGCACCTCAAGTACTGTGTGCAGTTTTGGGTGCCCCAATATAAGCAAGACATCAAACTATCGGAGTGTGTCTGGAGGAGGATCACCAAGATGGTGGAAGACTTATGAGGAGCAGCTGAGGTCACTTGGTTTGTTCAGCTTGGAGAAGAGGAGGCTGAGGGGTGACCTCGTGGCAGTCTACAGCTTCTTCATGGGGGGCAAGAGAGGGGAGGTGCTGATCTCCTCTCTCTGGTGACCAGCAACAGGACATGAGGAAATGGAATGAAGCTGCATCAGGGGAAGTTCAGATTGGGTATTAGGAGAAGGTTCTTCACTGAGAGTGTGATCGGTCACTGGCACAGGCTCCCCACGGAAGTGGTCACGGCACCAAGCGTGTCAGAGTTCAAGGAGCGCCTGGACAATGCTTTCAGTCATATGGTTTAGTTTTAGGTAGGTCTGCAAGGAGCAGGGAGTTGGACTTGATGATCCTTATGGGTCCCTTACAGCCTAAGATATTCTCTGATTCTAAGTGAATCTTTCCAGAGACTGGCTATGATGCAGTAGTTAAGCAAATTTAAAACAAAAACAAAAACAAAAACAAAAAAAAAAAAAAAAAAAACCGAAACCAACTAACAGGCTTACTTTCAGGGCTTTATCTACCAGCAGTAAAAATGGTTTATTACAACAAACAGTTTTGTCCTAATTAAATCATATGACATTTACTTGGAGCAAAGCACTACTCCAGATTTACAAGGCAAACTAGGGAGCTGAACATCAGTGGTAAAGCCTTTATCTGTTTGATAAACTACATTGAAATTTCTAAACTAATTTTCTGAAGTAGTTTGGTTACCATATGCCAAGATAAGGTATAATTTTGCTAAGTGCAAGCTTGGAGATTATTTGTTTCTAGCAGCAGCATTAAGTTAATGTAAAAGGCAAATATTTCAGTTTCTGTATTCTGACATTTCTAATTTGAACTCCTGTTTATCCTTTGGACTTGATGGAACTAGGAGCAAGAAGAAACTAAGAGAAAAAGAGTAAGGGAAAGAAATTCTAATGGGGTTAGAATTATGACCTCAAGGAGGAAAACAAATAAAAAAGGAAAACAATCAAAACCAATAATTCATTTTTGACAAACCACTCAAAGACTCCATGTTCCATCCATAAATCAGAAGACATTTTGGGAATGTTGGAGGCTACCTTCTACCATGCAGTGTGCGTTTCTACCACTCTTGCAGTATTAAAAGACCTATGTAATTCAAGGAGGTCAAAACAATCAATGCAGATGTAGGTATGGAACCATGCATAAATGGTTTCTGTTATCATACTAAATAATGGCACTACCTAATAAATCTTCTCACCCAAGAAGGATCTGTGCTTTACAGTAAACCACAGTATCGCTGTATATGTTTTATAAAGGCAAGGAAGTAAAGAACCAGGAATGAAGGGCCAAATGACACTTTTACTGAACTGCGTTCATCTGAAACTTGAATTCCTCGTTCTAACACATCATTAAGGCCCATGAACTGCATCACTCCTGCAGACTTCTGCAAAGTGGTGCTCCTGCACCGATGTTTATTTCTGTAAGGAAATTGGTGAGGAAAGATTTTTTTAAAACGTATTTCCAGTGAATGGCAAAATAAATTTCTGATGAGGTTTTACAGAGCTGTCTAAATTACTGAAATGGAAAGTATGCAATGTCAAAATCTAATTATAAAAATAAACTCCAAAAGAACATATTTACTTTGGTATACGCTCTCAGGGATCGCTTATAATGCTTGGCTTAGCTCAGAGTCAAGACAAACAATGGTGTAGAAAAAACATACGATGAATCCTTAATACTGCCAATTTACCAATGCATCTCTTTTGCCTGTTGTCCCTTTCTTTACCCTTCATTTCATAATTCAACAGGATGCATAGGTACATTAACATGTTACATGTCCAGACCCCATGCAATACTATAGTGGTGATACGTAAATGTGTGGTCAACATACTATTTTTCTCCTTGTTTATTGAGCTCTGCTGCCTCATTTTAAAATCAGAAGCTGAAAGAAAGCAAGCAGATACTGTGACATAATACATAATTTCATAAGCCAGTCAGGTATTCGAACTAGGAACTTTGGTAACTTTACTTGGTTTTTCACTGAAGTGATCTTTTGGAAGAAAATTTTGCAAAACTTCCCTGTTTCTCTGATCTGGCTGTTCATTCTTATTCCATCACTCCCTGTGATGATAGAATTAGTTGTGGGGCTGCAGTAAAAGCTTATCAGTGAAATGATCCATCTTAAAAAATACACTGGGAAAGGTATGTCCAGCTACAATATGAGAGGTGGCATGAATGACCTTGGACTATGGAAGAAGAGAAATAGAAATTTTTTACATGGAAAAAAGAAAGGTATATGGAACTATATGTTAGTCAGCATTTTTCATTCATATCCTGTACCCCCAGAAGAAAATATACTTTTGGTAAGAGTAAAATATTTTGTAAAAACACCTTCAGACCTTTCAGCATGTTTCAGTTTTTCATCTCAGTTGAAGATTTTGAAAATTTTGAATATTTAGGATTTTGTTTTTCTTTTGCCATCTCATGCTTTTTACATTTGCTCTGTATCTCCAAAATGGTGTCTGTAAAGAGCTCCCAGAATGCCCTCAATGATTTAACTTAACAGTTGGACTCGATGCTCTTAAAGGTCCTTTCCAACCTAAATGATTCTACGATTCTAACTTTCATACTCTTCTTTTTTTTTTAAGGGAGATTTCTCATATATATGTATTTCTCCTTTTTGAAGACTATAGCTGTGGTGTACTCTCCGGCTTTTTTGGTCCTACAGAGTTGCTGAATATCACTACCTGGTGGTTGCTCTTATAAAACAGACTTTAGACTAACATTTTGAAATGGTGCATGCATGCCAAGCTGAAATCAAAAGTTGCCTTTCCTCATGTGAACTCTCTAACCTGTTGCTTTATGAAGCATGCATTGATACTATCTGAATATTCAGTATCTATGTTGTACCCTGACATGACATTGTCCTGTTTTACAAAGCAGTTGAAATGCCTTATTACTGTTTAATGTCCTCAGAGGATCCTGCTCAGCATACTGCACTCATGTTGTTTTCTCGTGGGGCTGAGATTAATGCAGTATTTTTCCCACTTATCACTGGATCTTGAGTCCATACAGACTTTGTATTAGTCACTGGCAGAGTTAGGTTACTGAACTGATTTGATTTAAAAAAAAGGGGGGGGGGGGGGGACGGGGG